CCCCCCCCCCCCCCCCCCCCCCCCCCCCCCCCCCCAGCCAAGCTGAGTTGACCTGCCATCTGCCACCCAAGACACACGCATGCACAATAAAGAGCGTCCCGGCGCTGAATGTGGGACCTAAACCCCCCCAAGTGTCCTCATGACTGGGGGTAAGCGCGTCACAGATGCTGCCCGGACCCCTCACATCACAGCCTGACCAAAACGGGAGGTGGTGAGGGAGGGGGGAGGGGTCGCTTCTTTGATACTTCATTTAGTGTTGGGGTTCAGGTTCCCAGTTTTGGGTCACAGTGGGAAAATGCTGTATTTGTAATATTTGTAAACATCTTCACTTCTGTAGGACAGGACAGCAGGAGGTTCATAACACAGCAGCAGATGTTACTACTGGACGTCTGGGAAAGCTTCTGCACCGTGTGACCAAGGCGAGCGCAGCCCAACCCACAGGCCAAAGTGTTTTACCATAAGGAGACCATGGGAAAGTGCAGCTCTCTCGGGTTGGAGGAGGAGCGCACGCATGCGGCACAGCCTTTGGCAGCTGAGGGTCCTCAGAAGTTTATTAGGCAAGTAAGTATCCTCAGATGCAGGGGTGAAGATCTGTGCACCCCCAATACTGAATACTGAAAACCAACAGATTGATTTCCAACCATAAACTGAGTAGGAGGGGCAAAAATCTGTGCTACACTGAGTTTACCCAAGCAAGAGTGAGTGTAATGATATTTCACAGAGCTGACAAACTGCAGAGTGGGGATTTGACAGATTTGTGGCTTCTGTTGACCCACGGCAAACTAACTTTTTGATCGTAACACTAAATGATTCGATTTACTTGTTGGATTAGCCCGCGGCAAACACACGCCTGCGTGGTTTTTTTTAGCACCTGTCCCTGAAGAGCTTGGCTGGTTACAGCCAAATGGCAGAGAGAAAGGGAAGGGGGGGGAGAAAACACTGGTAATGACGAGGACGGCAGAATGGACCGTCGGGCAGAGTCACGGAGAGTGTCACCTGCTCGACTGCTTTGTGTGAAGCCGCGGACAGATGGCTGAGCGCCGTAAAGCTGAAAGAAAACTGCGCCTCATGTTGTGGTGCTCAACTTTCTCCCTGGCCAGCTGTACACACACACACACAGACACACACACAAGTGGTTCCTCAGCTTGCTAGACCAGACCCTCCTTCAAAAACATCCATCAAGGAGCTGAGTGGAAACCGAGTTCCACCGATGCTCCGTGGGTCACAGTTTTCCTTCTCTGGATCAAAGACTTCCTCTTCCTGTCCAGCTCGGTCAGGGTCCTGCTCCCAGCCAGGATTAATTGGACCCTGCCGCCCATGTCCACAGCGTGCCCCATGGCTGTAAAACACCACGCTGTCACATATCAGGGAGACTTCACCGTACTCACTCCCACAGCCACGGTGCTCGGAGACGAGCAACTCTGGAGGGTGAGATTCTCCCAGCCTCGACGACATGCAGTATCCTGACACAGCACTATGGCCCTCTTCCTGAGTACCTCAGGCACTGCATTAACATCCAAGAGGGACGACAGACCCCCCCCAGAAAGTCAGACAGGATGTTACCAGCAAGCTGAGACTTTGTTGGTGAACTCAGGGCCCATCAGGCTCACCAAATGAACACCAAAATGGTTGTTCTCGAGCTGTCAAAAAGCACCCCCCCTCCATCTCACAGCAGAAACACGGAGCACCTGGGTTTCGGGACACACTTTAAACTAACCGCCGTTTCCACGGCAGCCAGCAGCTGATCCGGGGTCGACGGCAGCATTCCAGAGCACGGCTTCCAGGTGGAGGAACGTCACACTCTCCACGGGAAGCCATTATCGCTCCGTGTGTGATATTCCAAGGTTACCGAGGCACATTCCCACTCCACACTCAGACCTGAAAGGCACGCACTCCGGCATAGAAAAGTCCACAACCACCAAAACTGCACTGACACGTCAGTGCCGTAAAATCTGCATCCCTCGCAGTCACCAACAGGTCATCTTAACAGATCATGGAGGCCAGAGTCTACTGTTCATTCATTAGTTAAAATATCTTTTCATGTTTTCCAAAGTTTAAGAAATTACTAGTATAACACGAATACGATTCTCATGTCCACAAGCACACCTTCACCATAGAGTCAACAATTATAAGAACAGATGCAGAACACCCCCCCCCCACACACACACACACACACACAGTTGGCTGCACTGTGGATGGATTGCAGGCATTCTATGTAGGTTCATGACCACCATAGGTCAGTCATGGGCTATCAGAAACCATTCTGGTCTAGTTAACTGTCACAGGCCCTCGTTATAGTAACGGCTGATGTCAGATTTTCCAAGGAGTCAATTTGAGGGGGCGTGGAGACAGAATCGCCATTAAGGAGTGCACTGCCTGAACCCGGTAACGATAAATACCCCCTTGGCAATCTAAAAAGTATCTTGTCTCACACTACCAGGCTATGAGTCCCCCCCCCCCTCCCCAACACACACACACAAGCCCTGGGATTTGCTCCAATCATAAAAACCTCAAATCTAATTACACTTTACAGCCATCTGTCCTTCTGATGTAAATTGCGCAGAGAGAATTCCCATTCAAAGCCACGGGGTGGAGGTAGGGCAAAGGACCGCGTGCACTCTGGGAAGCCCCGGGCAGACTAGTCACACAGCATTAATCTGACTAGGGAACAATAGCGGCCGGGCTGCAGGCGAAGCCCAGCTGTCGCCCCACAAAGAAAAGAAGAAAAAAAACACACAAGATTTAGGGCTTCAAGCGTCTCTGGAACTCTGGAGAAGCGTCCTGCATTTATTAACGACGAGTCGAAAGACCCTCCCCACTTCTGCCTTAGTTCCGTACAACAAGCCTGCGTGTGATTCACCCTGCCCCAAAGAGCGTGCAATTGCCAGGAGGGAAAGCGGCAGAATAATAGCCGGGGGGGGGGACCAAGACTGAAAATTGCACTGGGCTGGCGGGTTTGTTGGGGCCGCGTCGCTCTGCAGGCTACACTGGCGGCCGGAGGAGACAAGCCGACGTCGATTAATTCACGTCCGATCCGTCGGTGGCAGCTGCCCATACTCACTTGCATTCCCCGTTGCCATCTGGGGTCGCTTCACACCTCCCTCCATTCAGACATGTTTCAGTGGGCAGAGAACATCGTAAACCTGCAGACACAAACATACACAAAGATTGAACCCTAAGCATCAGGTGTTCGCTGATCACACATATGCTACCTGCGTCTTGATTATTAAAGTACCGGTATGAGACAATAAAGATGCAAATTATGAAATACTTTAATAGTCACCCCTTCACATTCACTAGGGCTAGGGCGAAAACTCCCGCGAAGGAAAATTAACGAATAGGCCTAATACTTGCCCCCCATAACAGTTGGCTAGACTGAACTATAACATAAATTATTACCAAATTCTAAATTAATAGTACTGTGTTCTACACTTTGCATGTCGAATTGTTGTGTCATCTCTTACCTTGACGTTTTTTATATAATACGAAAACCATCTAATCTTTATGCACTGGGAGCACTACTTTTTCAACCCATTGATAAAAATGCGAAATTAATGGCGCCGAAAAGTTTAGAAGTTACTGCAAGAAATACTAGATTCCACGGTTACAAAGGCAGCTAACGCGTGAGCGAAGCTGACGGGCCAAAGATGCGCCGTTTACCCAAGGCGGGATGCGGAGATCCCAGTTTTTTTGGCTAAAATAACTTTTAACATTAAAGATGCAGTATATGCACTTACACTAACAAATATGAAACAGCAGTTATATTTATATATGATTTTATGTGATCCAAAAATCATTTTCAATATTGTTTATATATTTTTGCCTTACGCGAGTTTTTGCGATCTTTCAGCAAGTTCAGAAAATATTGCAATAACAACTCGCGAATAACCGAAAGCGCTACTGTCAAATTGCAGGCGCGACGCGAAGGGCATGGGAACGTAATTAACCGAAATGAAAGCAGCTTAATTCACCTGAACCCGCCGCAGGGTGTATTTTTACTGTAGGCTGCATTTTCAACTCCGTTACACGCGAGTCGAAGGCTACTGTCATATTGCAGCCGTGCTCAGTGGGCTAAAGCACACTAGAGGCTACTTTAGTCGTAATGTGAAGTGTGATCCTTTCTCGTATTTGTGCAGCACTTCGTTTATTCGGGGCTTGAACCGCATGCTCCTCTCGGCGTGGGACGCGGGGCTGTGGGAATGCACGACAGCTGCGGAGTGTGACCCCCTCCGACGCCAGAACAAAAGAAATCAGAAAGTCCACCTCCGTAGTCTGGCTACTATCCTGGTGCATTGTCTACTGATAGGGCGCAATCGCGTCGCGGTCGACATATCCAACTTTTGCCTCTGACTGCACAGTTTTACACTTAATGCATTAAAGTAGTGCAATGCTGCATGAATGTCCAGATGTCAGACTTAGTATTAATAACTTGATTGAAGATGGGATGTTTTCTAACTGCATGTCAAAGTCGCAGAAGTACTTAGTATGGTGTAGATGTACAAACATTACAGCATCCAAAAAATACATCTAAAAGTTTCTACCAGGAAACCTTCCACTTGGTTCGCTAATAATACCTAAACAGATTGAAACAACCCCTTCAAAAATGCAAACATACAATATTAACTACACAAATAACACCTTTAGGGCTACCGAACAAAGACAAAATTCTCAAAGTAGAAGTAAATAAGCAATTTATCATCAAACCATTTGCAAAATTTCTCCGCGGTCAAATCCTATTTCTGTTTGAACGCAACAAGTGTCGGTTGCGGACTATAACTCCCAACCTCAGAAAACAGCCTGTCGAGTACACGGCTAAATGTGATGACAAAGATGTCACTGATCGGTACCATATCACCGCACATATCTGTAATAACTAAACTCAAGCAAAAGTTTTAAGTAATGCTTTCCAAATCACAGGCTTTTGCTGTAACACACGCTAGCGCAACCGTGCTTGGGACTCACCTCGGGATAATGCAGTCAATGACAACAGAAGTGCCAGTTTAACAGAGAGATAATGCATTCCTTCTCTTCTGATTTACAGTTGTATAATTCCACTTAGGGTTATCATAGATCCGAAGGTTCTTTTTTTCTATTTCAAAATCAGGCTGCAAAAGAAGCAATCTTGAATGCTGTTAGCAGCAGGATGCAGCGGACTCTCTCTCTCTCCCTGGGAACTCAGTGGCTGCGATGTTGTCGCGTCGGTGTCTGAGTTCCGAATGGGAGCCTCAGCTAAGGAGTCGGCGTCCTGCAAGCAAAACCTGGGGGCGTTATCCTCCCGCGCCGGTACCCCACCAGAACTACTCATAAAATCCACGCTCTAGAATATCGATGGGAAAAACACAACCATTCCAAGTATCTTAAGTTACACTGTTGAGGGTTTTACTGGCGTTTGAGGACGGGTCATTTTATTTTTATTTTTTGGAGATGTGTGTGTGTGTGTGTGTGTGTGTGTGTGGGGGGGGGGTTGTGGATTATACCCTTCACGAGATACAAGTTTGCTGTCCCCCCCCCTTTGGTACACAAAGTGCACGTGTGAGGCGCGCAACCAGAGAAAGTTCGGGGTAAGATCAGCTGTAGTGAAAGCAAAATATGGAAGTTAAACTGCCACGCTCAATTCAGCTGGCTTTCCATGACTCCTAAACCCTCAAAACACCTTTAACTTTAATCTTTCGTATTACCATAGTCAAGCTTGGTGTTTATCTCAGAGTGTTTTTAATGATCATTATCATGTTTGGTTACTGTGGATGCCTTTGATTAAAGCAAACGCATCTACAGTGTTGTCTGTTTGAACCGCGTTCATTGTAGTAAATTTATTTTGATTTATAGGATATCATGTTATTCAAACAAGTCAGGAACAGGAGTAAATCTAGTAGTTTTTTTGTTGCTAATTTTGTTTTAATGAAATTTAAACTTCTTTGCCACCATGGTAAACAGACAAGTCAAGCCATTGATCTGATACGTTTATGCTGACGTGCAATGCCTGTACGTGCTGCATCAGCAGGTCAGCATAGCTGCCCTTTTTTTCCAAATCCACAGCCAAAAAACTAATTGTTGCACTGCAGAAATGTTAAGGAAGCCCAATGGTACTGACAGACATCCCTAAAGAAGATGGACCGGTTAATACTGAAGAACTTACATAGTTTTCGCATTGGTTGACCCACCTAATAGCATAAATATGTTCACACAACCTGCATATCGTAGACCTCATTCAAAGTTTTTCTGACAATTATTAATATTCCAGCTTGTTTTCTTAGTAAAAGTGAGAGCTGCAGGGTAGAGAAAAGATTACTGTTGGTTTCTGCCCCTGCAGGCATGGATTTAATTTTCATATTTACATGTGACAACAAGACAAGGCCATTTGCCTGCAGTGCACAGGTATGAGTGCAGGGAACTGTGGGAATGTCTTGCCAGGAATATGACCCCGAGCGAAGTGGGGGGGGAACAAGGCCACAAGGGAGCATTGGGGCTAGTTGGGGGTCGATGATGCGATAATGAGAGCCATGTGTGGACGTGCAGGAACAACCTCACGCAAGACTGACATGACGTCTTATGATGATTTACCGAGCTGTCAGGTCACCCAGCAACACGCTGTGGTTTACAGCGAACACCCCCATTCAGCGTGATTTCTGAAACTCGCATTTAACTTTACAACAGCGATGAGGTCCAGTCACCAAATAAATGAGCCCAGTGTTACAGGCATATATGGAAATCAACAGTACAGTATCCTAACAGAGTCTCTAGACAAACATTCCATTACAGCAAACGAGCTAACACAATCCACTGCTTAATCTGTTTCATAATGGACTGATACCTCTGCATTTTATAGTTCAGTTTCTTATTTTATTGTTCAGTTTGAGCTGTTGTACACAGCTGGCTCATTTCAAACTTTTTCTTTTTTCATTATTAAGGGCTATGGCCTTTCCTGTTGTAATTATGGGCTCAGCACACAAAAACAGGCAAATCTGAGCTTGATTTATGCTCCTAGATGCTTTTTGAATACTACTCATATTTATCAACACTGGCAAATCGACAGTGGTTGTGTTCATTCCTTTATTTCTCAGTTTGTTAGTTTTGCTATGTATGCAGAGAATCGCACCAAAAATAAGCACTAGCAGTCAGTTTTGTGGGTCGGGCCACCAAAGCACACATTTCATTCTGTCAAGGTGTCTTTAGTGTTTTAAAACTGATCTGCAGTATTACACATAAGAGATGGATCAGTGAGAAAGGTACCACTTCAGTGAAGATTTCAATAACCATGCAAGTGGCTGAGCTATAAGCTGTCATTTACAGTATGTTACTTTAAATAAAACTTTTAAATGATTTTTTTGATAGATTTTTTTCTTAATCTACTGTAGTCACTGTGAGGTTCTCCACTGTTATGCACATCTGTAAAGATTAATTCAACTATATATGAAATGTGTATTTCAGTTATTGATCAATGTGCTTCAACCATGTTTGAAATGTCTTCTCGGCACATGATTGGTACAGGTGCCTTGTTCAATAGGCTACAATGCTGTTGTCATGTAAGTACTTTCAGGGCTAAGTTCCTGCTCCCTGGAGACTAAAAATCAGACTGATCCATCTGGCGTGGCTTTTTTTTAAACCATTATCAGTCTCTATCTACAATTTGGGGACTGTTGCCCACTCCACAGAGGAGAGGAAAAGGGGGCAACCTTAGGGAGACATGGGCCCCTCCCTGTATTGAGGCTTGGGGTGCAGAGTTGGTTGCATATTGATCTGGTCTGGAGGGGACGCCGATGCCATAATGAGATTTCTTATCATCTGTTTTTGTCAGGGTCCCGGGACTCTTCCCATGCAAATAAACGCGTCAAGGTGCAGTTTAATTGCATGACCCCACGCCAGCCTGACAGAGGCTATTGTTGGCTGCGTGGCTGTGTGACAAACACACCCACTCTGAAACACACAAAGAACTTTTATGCTGCGTAGAATTTGTTTGCAAGGAACAGTTGGCTGCTTACAAACTCAATATAACAAAACTGTTTGAAATATTGCTTATGTTTTTTGAGTCAATGTTTCAGGTTCTGTAAAGTCTTTAAATATTGATGAAAATACAACAAGGCTTATATAACAGCTCATTCTCCTTTATGTACTATTTTAATACGAGGAAGTATGTTGATTGTGTCACATAATGTGGTGAAATAAACAGGATTTGTGGGTCTTTCCTCCTTCATTGTGTTGGGTTGGACCCAGTGACCAGTTGTACCTCGTACCCCTGTGTTGGTACAAACAAAACCTCAGCAGCAGCTATCATGGGCAAAAACAAGATGCTTTCTCCAGTGGCCTGTGACCTGGGACAGACCAGAGGGATCGGGGGAGCAGGTCGATGACTGAGGCTGTCAAACACGGCACACCAGCTCCCGGCTGATACTTCTGCAGTGCTAGCAAACATCGCAATGGCGTAACAACAAACATCTGGGCTCTCTTCTGTAGAGGGTGGCTTTTTCCTAACGTGTGGCTCTTCGTCAAGTCGCAGCAGGGGAGATCAGAAAGGGCACAGAGGGAGGTGACCAATTAACATTCGATGGTGCTGTTATTTCCTTAAGTCCTGATATTGTCAGAACCAACAACACCTCTGCAGTGCCTGTGGGTGGCTTCTCAGCCCCACGCTACAGGCCTGAACTGTGGGTCTAGTCAGCGAAATCAAAGCCCATTCATTATTTATTATTCATTATTTACCTGAGTGATTCCCGGCTCCTTCCTTAAAGGGCCGGCGTGCTTGTTTTTAAGATCATCCCAAATCATCCTTTTATATTCTGCTCTGCTATCTTATTATCGGTGTAATGCTTTCCTCCAACATCCTTCACAGACCCATTGTGCTGGCAACCCAGTTTTGGAGCAGTTTTACCAAAATGTGTTTGTTAAAACATCCAGCAAAATGGCTACATTGTAAGATATGTACGTTTCAGCAGAAGCGTAGTTACAGCCGTAGTCTCAGCTAAGTGTCCTTTTTTGACTGCATCATGTGGAGCTGGGGTCACCATATTTGGTGAGACGAAAAAGGACGCTCTGTCACTCACAAAATATAAAAGGAATACAAATGGCCCCGCCTTTGTCATGCAAACAGCTACAGCTGTAAAGTAAGAGCAATTCATCATAAAAAAAACAGAGAAAAACTGTATTTTAAAAAGCTACAGAATGGTAAGCTGAAGTCCTGCTGCTAAACTAAACAATGCGATTCACTTTCCACACAAATACAAAAATAAATTGTCAAAGTGCCAGTGGTTTCCGGAAGCTGACGTCATTCGTGAGTAGTGTGACACGTAGGGGTGTGCATATCGTTTAATTTTTAAAGTAAACATGTGCACATGCCTTCCAAGCGCTGTGTGATGATTCTGATACTGAGCGGCTGCCGCATATGGAAAATTGGTGACTTTTCCTTAACTTGGTACTCCGCAGTAACTTGCAGCACTGGGTCATACGGGCTGCAGCGCTAAACCTGAGCAAACTGCCCCGACGCCCAGACAGGGGCCCAGAAAGAGGACGCGTCCGGGTAACCCGGAGGTATGGTAATCGTATGTGGAGCCTCCACTGTTGATTCAGTGACTTGAGGAAGCACCTAAACTGCAAGACACAGACAGCCACCAAAACTGGGGCAAATGGTTGCTTCCTAGTTTAGACTAGAACAAAGCAAATGTCATCCCCCTCTTTACAAATTCTAATAGCGATTAGGATGTACAATGGTGGGGGAAGGCCAGTGAGGACCAGTGGCCGAAAGACAGATGTATCTTGCAGACATGTTGGAACTTGTCTTCACCCAAGGAGAGGGATTAATTCAGTACTTACCTAATCACGAATTCATCCTTAAACATGCATCCTTCATGTGAAAAACTTGGGTTCACCAAATAAAAAATACCCTTGGTATGTTGTAAAAGTGTTAATTGTGTTTGACAGGTTATTTCTTTTCAGACATCGATATCTCTGAATAATAGTACCTTTGAACAGAAACTTCTCAGTGTTGCACAAATAGGTTGGTTATAATAATTTATTTAACAGACACTTTTGTCCCCAGTCACATACAAGTGAAGATCAGAGAGCAAGGTCAGGCAGTGCCCCTAGAGTATTTGAGTATCTTAACTTAACGGAGGTGGAATATGATCACTGTGCTGGCTAAGGGATTCCAACCAGCAACATCCTAATCCCAAGCTTAGAGTCCTAACCCACAAAGCCATCAGGCTACTTCCTGAAATGACATATCACATGACCCCTTACCAGTGCTCTCACATAATG